GTCGACCACTGAATCTACTACCGGTCCCTTATCTTCTGTGTTCTGTAAACCCACGCCGGAATACTGATTGCCCTGTTGCAGAAATTATGAAACAATTTAGCGTTGTAGAACCACCTTGCTTCGTTTTAAATAGAAGTTGAATTGATATTATCAAGGTTATGTTAATTACATGAAAATCAATATGGATTGATACCAATTAAAACAAAAGTTTTACCCAATAGTCAATAGTTATAGAGTCACAATTACTACAATTACATGTAACATCAAACCTTTACCAGAGGGCCTTTTTTTAAGTTTATTTGTTTATACGATATAGTACATAATATTCTAAATTATTCTATAATTACCTATCGTGCATGTATATATTTACGGGGCCGGGGTTGGAATCACATAATCGGCAAATAATTACGAACCTGATCTGGTCATATCTCCATTAATAAAATCAAAACCCAATGGCAATAAAAATTAATAATTGATATCAATCAAAAATAAGTTTACACTTTACACGTTTTACACTATAGTAACTTACTGTGCATGCTTATATTGATATTGTACGGGATTGGAAAGTTAATCAACTTTAATCAGCTTTAATCAGCTTTAGTGAATCTCATGCAGAAAATATCCTTATCAATTTTTTTCATACTCCCTCTTCCGTTCACTGAACTTATACGGCATCGGCCAGTCACTAACATCCACTTCTTTGTCTTCGTTCCTGATCAAGTTCTTCAACGTTTCCAAAATAATACTAGACTCAAGAATCAGAGGAGTGTCGGAATCGGTGTATTCGGGTACTTTGCTCAGGTCTATGTAAAATACTCTGGGAACTTTCTTGATTATTTGTTCCCATTCATCATCCATGTCATTTATAGTGGAGTAAAATAGCACCTTACTTATTGCTTCATCTACGTTTTTAGTCGCTATTGCCTCTGTCAAGTTGTCTATGAATCGAGAGAGATCGTAACCATTTTTTTCAAGTGACTTTTGTAGCTCCATTGTACATGGAATGATCAGGAAGTCGACTGGTTGGCTGTTTTCCTTCACTTCTGATAAGATGTTATCATAATCCCTGAAGTACCTCTTGGTTACGTGAAATTTATCATCCGGCATATATAATACTCCATCATCCGAATCACTGTTTCCTGTTAGCCAGAGAACGTTTACTGGTACGTCATTGTATTTCATTGATGTGGATTTGAGGGAAAAATAAAGAGATTTCCTGATATGGTGATGTTTCTTTTCTGAGTTGATTTCTGGGCCGGTCACATCTTTGTATTTGATTCCTTTAAAATATTTACGAGAAAAGCACTCACTTATCGGAAACACTTCTTTGAATTTGAGGTGAGAAAGGAACTCTCTTAGCTCATAATCCGAGGAGTGATGTGAATACAGAACCTGCCATCTTCCCTTACTTTGGCCTTTATTGTACAACTGTTCATCCAGGTGTCCGGATTACTGTAAGAATAGTTCTTATCTTTTCCGAAAATCCATTTCAATGTAGCCCGAATTTTTAGTGTATCCTTATCTTCTTTACACTTTCTGCAAACAGATTTAAAGTCAAAGATACGTTTATTATGAATATGAATATGAACTTCAGTTTCAATGGTTTTCTTTATGCATTGCAATGTATACTCATAAAGTTCCCTTCTTAAACAACCTTCATTTAGTCTAGATATAATATCACCAGCTGTGTTATTGAAGGATTCCGCAACAGCTGTTACCATATCTTCTGCTCCTAGTAACTCTGCGTCTATGTGAACATTTTTAGGTTTATATTTCTCGATGAGATTACAAACCATTACTCGATGAGATTACAAACCATCTCCTGCCTGCTTGGAAATTGATTCTGGTCGGGATGATACAATCTCCCTAGATCTAAACATGTAATATCAACATACAAATAGTCAATAACCTTCTTATAACTTTCAACGAATTCTCTCAAAGCTGTCATCTCATCGTTCTCTTCCCTGACATTGTATCGGAAGTCCCCGGTATAAAGAGCTCGTTTGTTTTCCTTTTTATCTTCAAACAGAAACATAACAGCTCCAGGAATATGATTAGCTGGGATTACGGTCACATCAATTGTTTGTTCAGAGTTTTCCCCATTCTCGTCAAGTAGCTCTATCGTTATTGAGTTCTCAATATCTGGCTCCACGATGACAATATGGTTATTTAGTGTCTCAAAATTTTGATGGTCCGTAGCAAGAACTTTGCCAATAGGAAGTCGTTTGATAATTTCCCAAGTTGTTGCGGTACAATGAGTTTTTGTATGAGGTCTTTGCTCAAGTTTATGGCCAAACTCATAAGCAAATAACCCGATACAATCGCGGGTTTTATTTTTGTGAGAATCGTTAAAATTAAAATGATCGCTGTGAGCGTGAGAGAGGAAGTATTGACTTTTCATGTCTCTGAAATCAAACCAATCCACACCTATTGATCCTTTGAGTTTATCAAAACCTTTGATGTCTCCCCTAAATATGTATTCTTCTTTCAGCTTCTTACCCATCGTTGTCACTTGTCTACATCTACTAAACCATCGTTGTCGAGTCTAACAAAGGTATATTCGTGGTGATTTTAAGGGACGAAAATAAAAACTTAATTAATTTTGTATTATCATATTATAATAGATCAACAGAAACTGATCAACAGCTGATGAAGCTGATCAACAGAAACACCCCTGATAAGTACCTTGTTTGAATCAAATCAGTTTAATTATAATCTAACATTCCAATCTCCTGACTACAAGTAGAAAATTATAAGATAACGTATTACCTTCTTAAAAAAACGTTTTTCCGGATAAAACTATTAAGAAAGCGGTTATTATATCAGGGACTCAGGGAGGTTAACAGAGCATATTATCTGTACGAAGTACTCGTTCACAACTCCATGTTCTGATGAAAATGACCCGTTCAAAACATTGGTCATCGAAAATAAGACGAAAAATTAGCCTTAAACTATTGTGATGAAACACTGGTTGTAATATTGGGACACGCTGAAATAAAAAAATTTAAAATTTCGTTTTCTGAGAAAAGTGCTCAAGTGCACCAACATTAGTGGGAACTTTATCTGCGATCATTCTGACCTAAAATTTTACGACAAATTGATTGGTGATGGTTTAAGAACACAAAAACATTCCCTTCTCCTCAGCGGATTAAAAAATAATTTTGTTTTCGAAAAATTTTGACCTAAAAATGACCCTCTGGCGTGACCAATTTCAGCTCGCAAATGGAGTTGAAACCTCGCCATTTTTAGCAGAGTTGTAAAAAAAGGATAGGAATAGGCTATAGCATTCTTAGAATTTTGATTAAGGCTTTAGATTTTCTATAATTAACGTCGAAAGTGAGGTAAAATAAACGTTAGAATAATGGCGTTATTTTAGCTAAGGTAAACAGCGTCCTTGCTTAGCAACATCAAGAGATTGCACGTGCGCGAGCAAGAACAGATTAGCATCGCGCGTTGTCATGCTCTATGATACGTCATAACTAGCTCACATTACAATTATTTACGCTATGACTATCCATAACTTTGGTTGTGATTGATGTTTTTTGATGCAGTAAAAGTATCAATTAGGGAATACTTAAATAAAACCTTTATCGTTATCGGCAAATAAAAATCCATACAATTTATATTACGGAGCTAGATCGTAGATAGATAGATGATAACAAGAAACTATAACATAGCTGATTTTAAATTTCCTTGAATAAAGCGTTCAGCTAGCGGATGTACAGGTTTGAGGAAGCCTATGAGCTAGGTAAGCAGAAAACTTAGTGTTTACCATGTTATAAGGCACAACACTCATACTCGAAAAAAGCTTTAAAATCGTACAAGAAATATGTATGGTCAGGAACAGGTTGTAATAATACGGAATATTGAAACTGTCCCTTTGATCACGAATCAATACGAACAAAAAGTTAGATTGAAAACAGCGTGAATATGAGGTATATAAGATGAGCTATTATATATAGAAATGAATAGATATGTTTCGCTCTATAAGGCAGCTGACCCAGGCCGAGTCTATCGAGCACAAAATAAAAGTATGAAACATTTTTCCTGTAAGCTTGTAGTAAAAATATACCAGCTTGTTGAGTATTACATGCGATGAGCTATTCTTACTTTATATCACAAGATCCAATCATGTCCTAACATTCCCTACTCTGAGTACTCAAAGTCAATATCCCATTCACTGTAATTGTTAAGCTAAGAAGGTACACGAAACGTGTGTGAACAATATTGCGTTATCCAGCTATTTTCGTGCGAAGTACCTACAGTTTTACACGTCACGAGGCACACTGTTCCTACTCAAGTATTGTATCCTACAAATCTTCTCTCCAGATACTATTTATTCAGTCAATACTATCGAGAATATATCTATTTATATTTAAAACTTGACGAAAAAATCGGGGGCTCATAAGTCTACAAAGTTTTTGAACTATATCTTTCTTTTTAGCGCTTGCTATACCCCGTGATTGATTTTGTGGGAAAGCTATAATTATACCTAACCGGATCAATCTCTCTTCTTTCTGCCGCAGAAATGGAGCAGAACGGAAGAAAACCTCGTTGTGCTCTGATTTCCATTCCATTTGGACCGAGCCACGCTGAAACCTGATAACCTTCACCTTCTCGAGCAGTGGTCTTTCTGTTTTGCAGCGGTTGCTTGTCCCACATAACCTAGGCCAAGAATGAAAGTCCGAACAGGCCATAAAAACAGCACTACCCACCTTTTCCACTACACCAACAAAGTCCTTATAATTATGTAGCTGTCCGCACTGTTTCATGGGCAGTTCCACTTTATGGTTGAATGAGTCAGCACTCAGCGCTCATGAACGTATGGCCTGGCTCCAGATATTTCACTGAATAAATTTACTAACATGTCTTTATATCAGGATGACTGTAAAGTCAACGCGTTGTTTTACTGACAATAGTGGCTGACTAACAATATATATATATACATATAATATATATTATGTAATATTATATTTCTCACGCATTCCCTGTCCTTTCAGAGAGTAGGAGATCTGTGTATAGACGTGAGACCACCTGTTCGGAAGAGTGCGGGACAGACACTGTTCTCAACCCTCAGTGCTCACGGTGATCTCCTCAAGCCCCAGACCTGGAACATTGTCCTCTGGAAGGTAATCTTACTATTTGTAACTTAGCGAGACAAGGTGGCATTATATATAGGCATTGAAAAGGCAATCACGGGTGATTTTCACAGGTGATTTTCACGATGTCCTTTGTGTATTATGTTGGACAGTGAACACACCCGATATTTCACTTTCTTTGTAGAACACAATTAATCTGAGTACAACCCGGTTGTTCAGGTGTTATTCCCGCTGCTGGAAGAGGTGAAATGTCTCTCCTCCACCGCTCCTGATGAGTCTCTCGAGAGAGCAGAGTCCAGTACACCTATCTTAGTACACCACACCCGTAACACAGCGTGTAAACAGTGGGCAGAGACTCAAGTTGGGGCCATCTCCGGCGTTGCCAGGGTCTTTCAGGTATGTTTGGAGTTTGGACAGGGGGCTGCAGTGATTCTGTCAAATACCACTGTTTAATGTTTATGTAGTCATTAGTATGTACCAACATTTCTTGCAGCAACCTTTCTTCACATTAGAAAACATGAAACATCTCTATTAATTCTATGTTTGCAACGTGCTAAATTTGCAACTCATTTTCTCAGACATGGCGAAGTATCCTGTTCAAGCTTGACAATTTCTTCGGAGCATGGGAGTTACTGTTGAGGCACATAGAGAGTGGAGCTCTTCATCCGACTAGTGAGGTCTCAACCGCTGCCCTAACTAGCTTTCACGAACTACTCAAGGATAATGTAAGTATTCCATTAACTGTGCAACTATGTACCCCCGTAAAATATCGAGTCAAAAACTTGGACCACCACACTAATGTATGTACTTACGTAACGCTACTCAAATGTATGTCATGTACAACCTTCTGAACTTGAGGTAAATGTAAAAAGAACAAATTATTGTTTGGACCACGAGACTTGTAAATCCTTGTTTCCCTAATAATTAATTAACTCCAATCTAAAGGGGACCCAGGAGGGAGCGTCAGAATTATGGGACGTAGCCTGGCACACGTGGCACACCATAGGGCACCGTATCACCCACCCCTACCTCTCCTACCCGGTAGAGGGTACTGATGATCTTCCTGCTCAGAACTTCCTTACCAGTCTCATGAGGATATTCACTCTTATCTACCCCAGAGTCGCCAGCAGGTCAGATAATTTGCTTGGTTATGTAAATCACGCGTTAATGATTTGCTCAGTTGTGTCAACATTGTGATAAGGTGTTTCCACTACCAGTCAAAAATTGATTCCAAGTTGTAATTTGGTTCTTAGTGCAATGACAGAAATTTATTGTCCAGATTCACCCGGGAGGATATGATGAACTTTTCCAAAGTAGTGAGAGGAGTTGCTGCTGTCCCGATAGGACCAGACCTACCGTTCGTTCTAAGTGCTCAGGATAGCAACCTGACTCCACTTCAATCCTCTATCCTCATCGCTCTTGAGTGAGTAGATAATTCAGCTGAAACCAACCATCTTTTCTGAAGAGAATATTGTAGGGGTAGTCCTAGGTTAGGCTATACGGTATAAAAGACGTAAATTTGGTTGTGTGGAAGAGAAGGATAGAAGTAATATAAAATTAAAGTTACAGTAATTCAAATTGTCATCAACTGAACTCTTTAAGAATCAACGATACTGTTTTAGAATAATCAGAACTCCGAGCTGTCCTACGACAAGTCATGTGAATAGGTGTGTTTTTTAAGCACGATGACAAATAATATCAGCAGGCAGTAAACTTGGTGTAAAAGTGTTCAGATAAAATATGACACACGACTTGTTTGTAAATGATACTATTGGTCGACTAGGTTTATGAGTTGTAAATTAGACAGAAATAGGTGCAAATCTAGGCAGATAACCATAAGCTAACCCTAAGGCTAATTTAACTCTAATTCTAAAGCTAACCCAAAGGCTAACCGTAACTCTAATCGCAAAGCTAACCCTAAGGCTTACCGTAGCTCTAATTCTAAAGCTAACCCTAAGGCTAACCGTAACTCTAATTCTAAAGCTAATCCTATGGCTAACCGTAACTCTAATCGCAAAGCTAACCCTAAGGCTAACTGTAACTCTAATCGTAAAACTAACCCTTAGCTGACCGTAACTCTAATTCTCAAGCTAACCCTTAAGCTGACCGTAGCTCTAATTCTAAAGCTAAACCTATGGCTAAATGTAACTATAATTGTAAAGCTAACCCTTAGCTGACCGTAACTCTAATTGTAAAGCTAACCCTTAGCTAACCGTAGCTCTAATTCTAAAGCTAATCCTAAGGCTAACCGTAACTCTAATTGTAAAGCTAACCCTAAGGCTAACTGTAACTCTAATTGTAAAACTAACCCTTAGCTGACCGTAACTCTAATTCTTAAGCTAACCCTTAAGCTGACCGTAGCTCTAATTCTAAAGCTAACCCTCTGGCTAAATGTAACTATAATTCTAAAGCTAACCCTTAGCTGACCGTAACTCTAATTGTAAAGCTAACCCTTAGCTAACCGTAGCTCTAATTCTAAAGCTAATCCTAAGGCTAACCGTAACTCTAATTGTAAAGCTAACCCTAAGGCTAACTGTAACTCTAATTGTAAAACTAACCCTTAGCTGACCGTAACTCTAATTCTTAAGCTAACCCTTAAGCTGACCGTAGCTCTAATTCTAAAGCTAACCCTATGGCTAAATGTAACTATAATTCTAAATCTAACCCTTAGCTGACCGTAACTCTAATTGTAAAGCTAACCCTTAGCTGACCGTAACTCTAATTGTAAAGCTAACCCTTAGCTAACCGTAGCTCTAATTCTAAAGCTAATCCTAAGGCTAACCGTAACTCTAATTGTAAAGCTAACCCTAAGGCTAACTGTAACTCTAATTGTAAAACTAACCCTTAGCTGACCGTAACTCTAATTCTTAAGCTAACCCTTAAGCTGACCGTAGCTCTAATTCTAAAGCTAACCCTATGGCTAAATGTAACTATAATTCTAAAGCTAACCCTTAGCTGACCGTAACTCTAATTGTAAAGCTAACCCTTAGCTGACCGTAACTCTAATTGTAAAGCTAACCCTTAGCTAACCGTAGCTCTAATTCTAAAGCTAATCCTAAGGCTAACCGTAACTCTAATTGTAAAGCTAACCCTAAGGCTAACTGTAACTCTAATTGTAAAACTAACCCTTAGCTGACCGTAACTCTAATTCTTAAGCTAACCCTTAAGCTGACCGTAGCTCTAATTCTAAAGCTAACCCTATGGCTAAATGTAACTATAATTCTAAAGCTAACCCTTAGCTGACCGTAACTCTAATTGTAAAGCTAACCCTTAGCTAACCGTAACTCTAATTGTAAAGCTAACCCTTAGCTGACCGTAACTCTAATTGTAAAGCTAACCCTTAGCTGACCGTAACACCCCACCAGATGTGTGGACCAGTGCCCGGACACGGAGATGTCCCTAGCTGCCCACGTGGTAATGGAGTACCTGGTTCTAGGTACACTCTCCTACCTCCCTCCCCCTGTCCTCGGTACTCCTGCTCTCGATTTACTTGGTAAGTACATATTATCATACTTATTTGGTTAGTACATAAGTAGTAACTGTGGCTAACTTTATCAGTTACTGTGCTGGTGGCGAAGGGCCGGTAGAAAAGTGTTGGACTTGGGAGGTTTAACTTTTGGGGTAGTCCACTATAGTCAACACTTCTGGTTAAACACTTGGATCGCTGGTATTCAGGCTGATTTTAAGATTTGAATTATAAAGGATTTGAAATTTAATATCTTTGATAAATTTCGATGTATGTTAAGTCTGTTTAGTTAGGGTAGTTACGAAAATGCGTAGGTCATGTCGGAAATGTATTGAGTTCATGAATAAATTATGATCATAAATCTGGTTCGTTTGAAGTATCGCTGCTGGTTTCTTGGTGTCCAAATTAAACTGACCCGCCAGTTCATCCCTCATTTATCATTAAACTTCACGACAACTTCCATAGTAACTTAATTCTATTTCCATCATTTTCTATTCTCTCAGGTAAGATTCTATCACCTCGAACACCTCGCCCAACTTTAGACTACAGATTATCACCCCGATCCAATACTACACCTCAACATTCTGCACCTAACCTCACGCCACACCAGTCCTGCAATACTCCCCCTCCTGCACCCAGTTTGTCGTCTGAAGTGTCCCCGATTAACCCCGTCCCATCACTTTCTCTGCCACTGCACAGATTATCACTTTCTCACCATTTATCACCTTCTCAACTACCATCACCTTCAAATGGCATATCAGGATATAATACAGGTACCCATTCGGCTACGAGCTGTTTTGTTTTGATCTTTATCCGTATGTTATTTTTACGCTTAGCATTGTTTCCATAATTTATTTTGTATAACGATATTATCTGCTTCCTCCCAAGTCATTTGTATTTTGTTACCGTCCTGCTTGGTTAAAGGACCAATACTGACTACTGAGTTTCTGGCTTATGCCGGAAATTCAATTATTATCCATTCCGTTATAATTAACGGAATTTCACTATTCCAACCTAATCAACTTCCAGCTCCAGTACGGTGCCTTTAAATATAATAATACAACCGATAATTAGTTCTTTGCCTTCTTATCATTGTTTGGTCCACAAATACGCTAACAGAGTAATAATAATCAGCAGTATAACTACTACTATGTCCCTCGTAGACCTCGTAAATAACAACAGTTACACTTTTTATATTAAGGTGTCCATTCAGTATTCAGACTGAACTTCAATCGGGAACTTGGTAATCGGTCGCTGGACACGTGACGCACGGTTGACAAACAGTGAGTTAAGTACCCTTTTGATGTCTGCGGGCCATGAGTGCGTCAATCGTGTGTTTTTCGTGCGTTGAATTAGTGATCGGTAACCGTGTATTAACCTGTTAATTAACCGGTCGTCCGCGTAGTTTCCCTATTCTTTAGTACCGCTTAATCCTTACCATGTTATGATGACCTCAGACTGTTAAATTCGCCAAATTTTCGTCAAAAAGTACGGCGTATTTACAGTGTTCAAAAAGTACGCGAATAATTCGCCAATTTTCAACGTCAAGTTTTAATTTTTAGGGCTGTTAAATTCGCCAAAATATGCGCGGAAAATTCGGTAAAAATGCGGCTGTGGGAATAGAACGCGCAGCATTCTTGAGTCTATAATCTAGTTGGATATGTGAATTGTGACGTTATACTTCAAACATGCAAATCTCAAACTTACAAACCTCGACAAGGAGACTAGACTGTGGAGGAAATTAAGTGATTTTAAGTTTATCAAGAAAAGTTAGTTTACTCCATAACGTTTTCGGGTATGAGCTAAATTTAACCACATAGCGATCTTGGTCAGTACCCACGCTAGTGATCACTAACCAGTAACCACGCACGTGTTGCGGGAAGCACATGTTTTGGCAACATTGCACAATACAAAGCCAACTATCGTGAACATTTTGATGCGGACACGTGATTTCCTGTTCCCGTATTTGGTATATTTTTAAATGCGGCAATTTTCAGAGAAAAATTCGTATGCGAATTTAATTCGAATAATACGTTTAGTGCGAATTTAACAGCATTGTGATGAGCTGTTGTTTTGGTGGTTCCATTATGGAACACCAGATAGCTGCTTATTTATGCACAACAATTGATGGCAGCTATAGTTTTGAATGTACGCGCGCAGTTTGGCGGAGACAGCAGACACCCATTTAAAGGACCAGTTAACTGAAAAATTTGTAGTCTCCAATTTGGCTAAGATTTAAATCAGCTGTGACAAACTGGTAAAGAATCGTATCGCCGAAAGAACCAACTCTCTAGCGTACGTGTAACGCGTGTTATTGCAATAATAAGCTGTGGCCTCGTGACGTCACGAAGTCCCTCAGTGCGCGCTGGCATAGCGTAATACGTTGCAAATCTTTATCGTTGTCATTAAAACACATGTAACTCACTCAAATTTTAGAATTATGACTATTACCCTAGTTCTCCCAAATCCTTATAGTTTTGGCTATCATCCTAACTAAAGGAATAGCTGATTGGATGTACAGTGCTCACGTCATGATTTTAAACAGTGATATAGCTTCTTGAACAGTGGCGGGTGAATGTACGGTTAGAAAGTTTCTGCTATTACAGTTCTTATGTCATATGTGATAATTTCGGATTGTTTTCATTGCTTAATTACACAAGCAGCCAGCAGGGAGACTGTACCGATTATTTTTCCCCAGTCCATGAAACTCTAACGAATTTAGAAAAGAACCTATAGATAAGTAGGAGTAGATAAGTAGGAGTAAGTAAGAACCTATAGATAAGTAGGAGTTTGTTCAATTCCGAGAGCAATTATATTTATAGAGTTATAGCATAGCGAAATTTCTAATTTTAATCCACATGTGTCAGCCAGTACAGGAGACAAGAAGTCTGGCTACTTTACGGCCGTTCCTCTGGAACCATCAGTAGAAGTAGCTTCTATCAGAACAGTGCCGTGGGAACAGAATTCCCGCCAAAATACCCGGTCTACCAAATAGTAATACAGATTGGAGTTCGAGTGTATGGTGTGCGGTGTGTTTTGAATTAGACTTGCGGCTTACCTAGTTGTTATCCTAATTGCATTATCATCGGTACATATACTTACTTTGTTACTTTGTTACTTTCTAGGGCTTCATAGAATCCTCTATCGGGCCATCGAAAAAGTCGACCCCCCGGACAGTGTAGAAACTGTTTTATCACCACTCCAATCCAGCAAGGAGTTTCCATTCCGACGGCTGCATATCCTGGAGCTGGAGGCTCGTCCGGAAATGACTTCACGAAGTTCGTTAAAGCTGCTTTGAATTGCATAGGATCCTCGATGGTGTGCATATGTGTTGGGATTACATTCCATAATCGAGGTCCGGTTACTGCAAATGAGTTGTCATGTAGTGCTTGATTACGTTGACTGCTGGACTTAGCTATACTGGGCACAACTGCTTTTTGACCATGTCTGAGAGTCACCGAGAACTGGATACCAATATCATTAGGGCACTTGCAATGCAGAACTTTCCACATGTTAATGATTAAATATCGTTCTCTTCTTCTTTGCAATGACATCAGATCTAGGGCCTTTAATCTCTGCCAGTAGTTGAGGTGCATAACATAAATAAAATACTGGTAAGTTTAAATACCAAGTGCACCCACTGAACAACTATAGAACTTCCAAGACCCTATTATTCTTTGGCCATATATTACGGCACGATCGATTGTTAGATGGTTAAAGTTAAACGACATTTCACGTAAAACATTGTCGCCACAGGTTGATCATGGACACTAACAGCTTAATTTGAGATAAATGACTTATGAGTTTCTCTAAAGTTAACTCTAAAGTTGTGCAGTCCAGTCATTTTTGGACATTTATGGAAATGAACCTGCAAATGTTCAGATACTAACGAAACTTTGCACAGACCTTCCCGAAGGTGTGAATAAACGATTTTCGTTTGGAGACATTTTTTTGACAGTGGAGAAAACCCAGGAGGGCCACGCCCATATTGACCCAATAACGTAACCGACCCCTTGCTTCTGAAGGTCGTACAGACTTCAAAATAGGCTTAAACGAAGCCGCATATGCATGTTTATATAGGAGTTATCGAGCAACACATGGCCTAAAATCCATACTTTTCGAGAAATTCGCCAAAAACCATTTTGGGCGTGGTGCTGAGCCCATTTTCGATAGGATTGTGATAGAGTCTTTAGACAGGGTGCAAAAGAACTGCAATTAGCATATTAACATATGACTTACGAACAAACATATGCCTTAAAGTGCTTACTTTTTCAGTTATTGGCGAAAAACTGATTTTCGGTTCCAGAAATCATGCAAAACTATGGGTATCTGGTAAATTGGGCTATGAAGGCCCTAAAGGTTTTTAAATGTGTGCAAATTGTGCAAAATGGCCATGTTTATATACAACTTATGAAGCAACATGTACCCTAAATTACTTACTTTTCGAGTTATTCGGGGAAAAACATTGTATTATGTCCATTTTCTACCTGTAAAATACAGTCTCACGGGCTCCTCTGCGCGCGCAAGGGACTTCGTGACGTCATCGCCAAAATAATACAAACGCTATTTACACGCGTTAGAGAGCAGTTAGAGATTTAGGAATTTCGACTCGTTGCTTAGTTTGCTATTTGTCACAATCTGTCAAAATATGAGGATAACTTTTTTTTCAGTTAACTGGTCCTTTAAATATAATTATTTATCATTTAGCAATTAAAATTGTGATTAAATGTGAGTCGTCCTAATTTAGATTTGATACAGAAATCTGTTTAAATTTTCTGTTGAGTAGGAGACTTATGACTTGTTTAGCAAATCTCAATTCTCAATACATCAACAGTGTAACCCTCCGCAACTCACCTACGTGACTATTATTGCACCTTCTCCCGAGCTTCGATTTTATAGTTCTAGAATAACCGTTCTGTATAACCGTGACGTGGTCTCGGAGAAATGGGACCCTCCTTAGTTTGTAGAAGTTTTGGTTTTGGTTTCCTTTTTAAGATATATGTAAATCGCGATCTGATCGTGTTTTT